GGACAAGACTACCGCAACAGCCAGTACACGGAGGGCAGCGAGATCGCAACTTCTACCGGACAGGCTGTGCGTGGTATTGCTGCGAATCCCAACATTATTCATGTTCCAAACGGTGTCGAGTCCAACGTAGCTTCACTCGTGGACGGCTCCATGCTTGAGTCTCAACTTACCACGGGCTCTGGATACGACTACAGGGACTCCCAAGTATCGTACGGTAACGAGTCCAATGTTTCCTATGGACCGGAATCCTACGTGTCATACGCCAAAGACTCCAATGTCTCCTACGATGACCAGTCCAACATTCAGCCCCGGTCGCGCGACGTCAGCCCAGAAAAGAGATCTGTCGCTGACCAGCGGGAGTTCTTCGAGCAACGTGAGCGCGAGAGCAGTCGCACGCCTACTTCGAGCCGCCAGAGCCACCGATCAAGAGAGTTTGCTGGAGAGTACGACCTGGACGAGTATGGTAGAAAGGTTGCTCCTGCTAGGTACAGAAACTCCCCTTCTACGTCTACACGGCACTCGCCTACTGCCTCCGAAAAGGCAATTGCCGCTGGTGCGGTTGGCGCAGCAGCTGCTGCTCTCAAGGCCGCCAAAGACAAGACGAAGCAACCGACAGTGGAGGAGGTCGACGAGGAACATGCTGAAGAATGGGTTCCCGAGGGAGTCACAAGAAACAAGTCCTTTAAACAGCGAGCGATGGAAGGCCGGGAGCCAGCAAACACCCCGGCACACAGCGTCGACCGTCTCGACCTCGAGGACAAGCCCAAGATGGGTGCTAGTGCCATGCCGACATTTGACGACCCGATGCCTGAGGTCGGATATGTGGACGACGATGCGCTGACCAATCCGTCATTGGTCCGCGAGCCGCTCGGCGGCAGCGACCACAACGATGGGGACCACTGGCCCGGCGATATCACCCCTCGCCAAGGCACGCCTCGCCAGAGCGACTATGACCAGTCTTACGAGGAGTACAACTCGGAGAAGCACAGCCCGCGCGGCCACGGTGGTTATGGGATGGCCGCTGCCGGTGCCGCCATGGGAGCCGCCGCCGGCGCAGCCATGGCTCACCACCGACAAGCCAGTGGAGAGCATGAGGACGAGTGGCGACGCACATCGGCTGAGCGAAAGCGCGATACTGTCATTACGAATCCCTATGATGGCGCGAGCCCCGTCGATCATCCCGACCTGCTCGGTGGCAGAGGATTCGAAGATTATGCTGCTGGGTACCACGCCAACAGTCCGGGTGGGCACAAGAACCTGGATGAGGGTTACATTTCTCAAGGTCCCATCCACTCGCCCAATATGCAGCCCACCAGCAAGGCCATGATGCCCTTTGGCGATATGAATGCAGAAGACCCCTTCTTCGCACCTCAGCACTCACGACACCTGAGCGGTCTTTCCCAGGGCATGAACTCGCCGCTGTACGATGCCGCCACTGGCAACGGTATCGACAGGATCGAATCCAAGGACATTATTGCCTTGATGCAACATGTGAGTATCCCGTTATTGTGGACATGAAAAGAAAATGGCTAACAAATTCTCAGCTCATGGTCCGCGATGCTCAACGGAGCGCTCGTGACACGGAGATTCTCGTCACGCTGGTCCGCTCTGCGGCTGAAATGCGCAACTCTTTTGATGACCTTAAGAAACTTCTTGCCAACACCGAGGACGTCATCATCAAGGAGGTCCAGGAGAACACTGACGAGACGGTCAAGAACGCCGTCGCTGGCTCCCGTGCTTACCCTGGCAGCCTTCCTCGTTCTGTCAAGGGCTACAGCGCTGCATCTCAGAACAGCACTCTCGATGAGACCGCCAAGAAGAGCAACTTCTTCCGCAAGGCGCTCAAGGGCCTCAGCAACAAGGGCGCCAACGATCTCAGCAGGATCGAGGACATGCTCATGCAGCTACTGGGCGAGGTCGACACACTCAAAGCACAGACTATAAGACCCGGCATGGTTAGCGGCCGGCCATCTTACGAGAACCTCACCCCGGAGATGCAGTACGAGCAGGATCGCGGCTACGAGCCCGAAGGCCAGGCTGGCACCTCTACCACTAGCCAGGGCAGCCACTCTGGGATGTCATCCTTTGCCCAATCTCGCGGGCCTTCCAAGATGGCCTACGAACCAAACCGCATCAGCACCGTTCACGAAGACAATGAGGAGGAGTATATCTCCCAGAACAACTACCATGAGCCTCAAGGTATGCTTACACCGACTCGGGAGTTCTCTCGTGGCGGTTCTGTGCCCTTGGGCACTCCTCCTCAACCCATGGCCGCTCAGAACGCATCGTTGAGCAATGACAACACTCCCAAAACGGACAAGGGCAAAAAGCATAAGAGGGGGTCATCGAGCTGGTTCCCCAAGATTTCTCGGTGGTCCGAGTCGACGGCTACAAGCGTAAGCAAGGCTTTCCGGGGCAGCGGCTCTAGCAAGAAGGAACACGAAGACGAGTTCCTGCAACATCCTCCATCCCGATCTGGATCCGATCTACGATACGACGACCGGTACCAGAACGAGTTTGGCGGCAGTGACCAACTGCACTCTGGATTCTCGCAGCAGGATCTTGCAGCTCCTCAGCCCCCGCACCTGGATCCTCCTGCCACCTACATGACCCCTGAAGACCCCAAGTACAAGGCGCACCGTAATTCGGTCAATCTCCAACACCCCCAGCCTCGTCAAGGACAGACTGAGAGGTTCAAGGCTGCCCTCGAAAGCCAAGCATACGACTACGACACGCCTATGTCTCCCAGATCTGCAGACTGGGCCGGCTCAGCCACCAGCTTGCACCGCTTCCCCCCAAATGCCAATAGCTATAGCAATGGCTCCCCCGCGACAGGTGGCGACTACTACACGTCCTCCTCCCCAGCTGGCCCACCCAGGCCGCCTAAGGAGCCCATGGATGAGATGACCCACACGCCCGCCAAGAAGCGAATCTCCAACTTGGCCTTGAAGAGCAGCCCTCTTCCCTACAACAGTGTTGAGAGCGGTTACGGCACTGGCCCTGGCACACACGCCGCCAGCACTAGCAACTACACCGGCAGCCCTAAGCCGGAGAACCGCAATCTCAGCGGTGCTCGTGGCATGCCTGCGCGTAGGCCTTCCGGGCCGCGAGCCATGACCCCCAAGAGTGCGGAGGAGGAAGCCGCCAGAGAAGAGCGACGTCGCAAGAGAGGTAAGCACATTACATTTACAGTAATTGAGCCGCAAGCTGACTGACTATCTAGACACCTTTGGCACAGTCGCTAGCAATGAGACCGATACCTTCTAGACAAAATGATTCCTCGCCACAGAGAATCGTTTGTGCATACAACACACAAAATAAGCACTACTACATGAGTTGATGCTACTGGATAGCTTGAACACATGATCAGCTATAATCATTGAACATATTGGATGCAGATTCTCCCATCTGCTATAGAGATGCAGCGGCAACCAACCAAAAAAGGGGGGCAAGTTGTACAGCCGCAGGGAGGAAGCGGAAGGGGACGACGGAGGTGGATTTGGTTCGCTACTCAACCTAACGACGACATGACACGCAATTGATGGCTTTTGCGTTTTAGCGATGTTTTCGAGGTGGAGGAGGAGGGGGGAAGGGAACGACAGCACAGCATGACCTCAGTTGGCCATGTTGCGTTGAGGACAGTGCCGAAGGAAGAAAGGCATGGAATAGGTTTGGAACGCGCGACAAAGTTGGTTGATACCACATTCTCGATATTGGGCTGCTGTGTTTTTTTCTTCGAGAGCAGCCGTGACGCATGGCAGATACCATTAGGGGTTTTTGACTGTAATAGTAGTCGTGGATAATGGAACCTCTACTTCGCCCTGACGATTTATGACCAAATGTGAAGATTGTGTTCCCAGATGAAGGGGATAGTGAAATTGAATGAGGTGAATCTTGCTTTGTTGATGGTTGAAGTACAATGTTGGCACCGAATATGACTGGTGTATTTTATGGGAGGAAACTTTGTATCGAGGGAACTACGGGCACATCCGGTAGAGGGTGCGCGGGGTCTGCCGTCGACGGTTATCTTTACCGATGGCAAGTACAAGAAGTTTCCGCCCATTTATGTTGTGAGACATAAGCTATGTATGAAGAGGACTTCATCAGTGGGAAATAATGAGAAGCAGGATATCTTCAGTGTCAAATGTTCTACGTTAGATTCCTAAATCAAATGTATTAGTATTGAACAAATTTATTTTGAAAAGGTTTCCCATTGTCTGACTGAACAAATGCAGGGTTGAAAATGTGCAGTAACAATTATCAAGTAAACAATGGTGATAGTCGACTTGAACCCGTGACCTCTACGAAGGTCACAAAAAAAAAACAAGCTATCCATGGCCTTATGTAGGACCGTGAGCCAACATACGATAGAGTCGTCCCGCTCGGCCATCGACTACAACGGACGGTGCTTGTTGAGAGCTGCGTCTTCATTGGTATTCGTAAGGGATAGTACGAGGGCGGTCAAGATTCATATACAGGTAGGAATAAACAGACCAGTTTCCATCTCATCTATGGTGACAGGTCGCAAACTAATTCACGTAGAAGCAATATACAAGTCAATTAGTGAGCTCTAGCATCAATCAATCGGGATTGACATTTGGTTTATTCCGTAGCTACCTTAATGCGCAGTAAGTCAGAAAGATACGTCGATTCATGTCTTGCCCAAACGCACAGCATCTTCTTCATTTCGCATTCACGTCTCCGACGATGCGTCGCTCGTGGCCCGGTTTAACGCCTACGTCATTCCCGCTCGATAACACTAATCGCCGACGACCGGGAATGCCCCTCATTGCATTAGCGAGGTTTCGGCGATAAAGATAAGATTGTGTGCGCAACGCCCTTTCGCAAACTTATTACCCCTCGAACGACTTTTGAGCCCACCGCGAGACTGCGCGAGGGAGCAAGCCATATAATCATCTTGCCCGACGACTACTTCACCGCCTCCTTCCTCCCCCTTCGTCTCCCATTCTCCCCTAATTTTACCTTACAATACCGCCACAATGCCTCGAGATCCGCTCATCGGCCTGGTCGGCAAGCCGTCGGCCGGTAAGAGCACAACGCTCAACAGTCTCACAGACGCCTCGTCAAAAGTTGGTCCGTAAACCTCCAAATCCATTCGACCGAGAGAAGGGAAAACCCCGACGCCCACCGACCTGGTCGCTGATGGACATATCGTGAAAACAGGAAACTTCCCGTACGCTCCAACTCTCACCCTTACCCTGGCCGCCTCCTTCATATCCTTGAGATTCTGTGTTATTCGTTGGTGGTTCAGCAGCATCCACTAACATTCAATATCTCCCCCTTTGCAGATTCACAACTATCGATCCCCAAAGGGCAATCGGCTACCTCCAAATAGAATGCGCCTGCGCGCGCCACGGCGTCTCGGACCGCTGCCGACCCAACTACGGCGCCTGCATCGACGGCCGCCGTTCGGTACCCATCGAGCTCCTCGACGTCGCCGGCCTCGTGCCGGGAGCGCACCAGGGTAAAGGCCTGGGCAACAAGTTCCTCGACGACCTGCGGCACGCCGACGCGCTGATACACGTGGTGGACGCCTCGGGCACCGTCGACGCCGAGGGGAAAGAGACTCGCGGCTACGACCCGTCGGTCGACATCGCCTGGCTGCGCGGCGAGATCGTGGCCTGGATCCGGGGCAACCTGATGGAGAAGTGGGGGTCGATCCGGCGGCGGCACATGGCCATCAAGGCCACGGCCGTCGAGACGCTGCAGGGTCAGTTTTCGGGATACGGGAGCACCTCCAACGTTGTCGCGCGGGCGCTGGACCGGCTGGGCATCAAGGAGCCGCTCGAGGACTGGGACGCCGAGACGATTGACCGCGTCGTCAACGCCTTCACCGACGAAAAGTTCCCGACCGTCATCGCGCTCAACAAGATTGACCACCCGGACGCCGACAAGAACATTGCAAAGATTGCAAAGATGCAGGACCCCGACACGATCGTGCTGTGCTCCGCCATCTCGGAAATTTTCCTGCGCAAGATGGCTAAGCAAGGGTACATCAAGTACACGGAAGGCAGCGAGTTCGTCGACACGCGGGAGGACCTGATCGAGCAAGGGGACCCCACGGGCGGGAACCTGAAAGAGCTGGACGAGAAGAACCGCAACCGGATAGAGAACCTCAAGGACATGGTGCTCTACCGCTTCGGGTCGACGGGCGTGGTGCAGGTGCTTTCCAAGGCGGCCGAGATCCTGGGCCTCGTCCCGGTGTTCCCGGTGCGCAACACCACCTCCTTCACCTCCGGCGCTGCCGAGTCCAAGTTTGTCTTCCGCGACTGCGTGCTGGTCAAGAAGGGCACCACGGTCGGCGAGGCGGCGCGCAAGGTCATGGGCGACGCGCCCATTGCGTACATCGAGGGCGCCGGCGGCCAGAGGGTCGCGGAAGACCACCTCGTCACGGTTGGGAAGAACGATGTAAGTATTGTCTCGCCCCCTTTTTTTGATACTCACATACACGTATCCTAACGTTGTCTTCACACAGATCTTGTCGTTCAAGGTTGGAAGAGCTTGAAGAAGAGTTGAAGCTATCTCTGCGTCATCTGACCTTAGTACACTCATTCCCACCAAAGCTGCATAAAACTGGAAAATACCCAGTGACATCTAGATTCCCCGTGACTGCCCCTCTCCTCGGAAAAGATAGAAGGGGTTTCATCGCAAATCATTCTCAAAAAGCTCCATGGTAGAGTTGGGAGGCGGGTACTCCGGAACAATCGCCCCCTAGCCCAGTAAGGCGAGAGCGATCACCTGGGGGCCAAGGGACCATTCAGGGTGGGCCTCGAGAAAAAGAATTAAATAAAGAAATTTCAAAAGATCAAGACCTGCCGCGGGCAATGGAGCATTGTTTTCAAAGTACCGACTCGGAACTCGAGTCATTCCGATGTGGACCGTTAAGGTGTCTTCTTGATATTCTGCCCTATCTCTATTTTCGCATTCGCGCATCGCGGCCATACCCGCGCCATCTCGTTTTCTCTTTTTTTTTTCCTGCTCGATTCCTCCCTCACCAGGGCAGTGACCAGCCGACTGGTTGCGGTCTGCGCCTTCCTTACCAAAGTGCAATTTAAACTAGCGGACAGGGATACAGGCCTCACCGCGAAGGCGGGGGCCCTGTCCTGTCCTATCCTGTCCCACCGGGCGCTTGCTGCCAGCGGCCGGCCAGCCAGCCACAATGGAGCCCTGGGCCCCCGGACGCTTCTGGCTTCGCGCCGATTGCCAGAAGGCCCAGAGGTACCCGCAGTGCCGAGCTCTTCTGCGTCCGAGTTGCGTACGCGTCCCTCGGCTTCCGCTGCCCTGGCGGATTTTACCATGTTGCAATTTGCAAAATGAATCATTTCTGCTGTATCCCGTAGTCTCGTACGGAGTACCCGCGAGGCAGACTGCGAGCAATAGGGCGGATCAGCAAGCAATTTGGGGGCCATTGGCATGCTTATTCTCGTGCTAGCACTCCGCTCAATGTGATGGAAACAAGGTTATTTCACAATCACAAAGTCATCTGAGCGCAGTCATCGCAAAGGAAATAAGCTCCAAAGTAGCGTCGCAAAGTCGGATGTTTCTGACAATAGTCCAGAATACTTATGGCAGTATACAGAAGGTTGTAAACGTTTCAATGCAACAAGCATGACATCACATGGATCTGCATCAATGGTTTGGTGGTCTTGTGGGGACGTCCAACCGCGTATCAAGCACAGCTGACTGTGTTCAGGAATTTGCGGCATGGTCTGAAGCATTGATTCTCACAGCTGGGCACACTGAACAGGATTCACGACGAAGACTTTATAGTAAAATAGTTTGAAGAGATTGATATGTCGGGTATCGAATTAAGCATGCTACACACAGCGCGAATTCCTCCTCCACTTCCTGGTCTTGAATGCCTGCCCAAAACAAATCGTTTCGAAAAGTCGCATTCCGCAAGGTGAGAAGTAACGTGACAAAGTCCGAAGAATGGAACCGCCAGGAATTATGAAAAGAGGCCGTTGCTGTGTCGTTGTCGTAAAAAACAGTGGTGGAGGTTGGTGAGGTAAGGGGTAATAGGCCAACCCTGCAGAGCAGCATGCATCCTTGCAGCTGGCGCAGGAGGATCCCCCAGCATTGCCGGATGAGACGGAGAGCCAAGATCGCTGGAATGCCCGGCCACCGCCTACAGCGTCACACTCTTCGGGAAGGCGTGGTGACACATCCTTGAGAGTAGGTAGAGTTCATGTCGCTTCCGTTGCTGGATATCGTCATGCCCTCTCGTGTAGGCGATTACGATCGGAGAATTGCAGCGACGATTCGCTTAGTACTTCAGAATGATGTACAGAGCGTGGATGATACCAGGGAGGTAACCTATTATTGTTAACTAGATTCACAGTGTCTGAAGAACTGTCAAGCTTACCAAGAATGGTCAACAGGATGTTGATGAAGAAGTCAGCGCCGCAGCCACGCTCGAGGAAGACACCGACGGGCGGGAGGATGACGGCAAGAATGATCTTGCAGATATCGGAGGCGGTGAAAGGCATGTTGATTGATGTGTTGGTGTTGTCAAACGGTGTGTTTGTTTGTGTAGAGTAGTTCGTGACGGGATCCTGAAGATCTGATGTGTAATGTCGAATGTAAGTTCGTTGGTTGATGAGGGGAGGGGATTCGAATGGTAAGTGGGTTGGGGAAGAGATGGTTATATAGCAGGAATGAGAGCAACTGCGAACTGGGAAGCCACAGTCCAGCGCAGGAAAAAATACAAAAAAAGGCAAGGACGAGCTCACAGTGATGTGATGTGGACTTGCATGGGCCACCCCTTCCCGCTCTCCTCCGTACCAACCTGACCTTACCTTACGGATACGTCTGACAAGGGACAAGCCAGTCGCAGGTGGTAGGCCAGTGAGGCCCGGCAGACATGTCTTCCCCCCCAAAGTACCCAAGCGCAGCCTCCCAAGACGAGCCAACGAGCAACAAGAGCGTCTGGTCGTGCCGGGAAAGGCTTGGGGGTGTGGTATGAGAGAGGAGTTGCGTCATCGACTCATTCCCGGTTTGCTGCGGCAAGGAAAATAAGGCACAAGCGGCAGCACCAGCACATGGCCACACGAACTGCAAGCTCTGGGCCTCTGGCTAGGCCATTTACGCCTTGAGAGAAGAAGGAAAAGATGGGATGGCTCTTGCCGTGCGTTGCGGACAAGCCACACCTCCGCCCACTTTAGCAATGACCTTGTCTCTTTTTCCTCCTCTTCCTCTGCACTGCTGCAGGCTCTCCCCTCCTGCGCCTGCGGAAACAAGCACCCGAGCGGAGCAAATGTGAGCCCCTTACGACGTATCACTGACACACACGGCATCTGGACCTTCCTGCTGCCTGTCATGCCTTTGTCGCTGCATCAGACCTCGCGGCGCACACTGCCAGGTTTCTCAGATCCCATTGATGAGGATTGGATGCCTGCTCTCAGCCTCCGAAGCTCGCTTCCACGGCAAACATTCGGTCCCCCTACGTCTTCGTCGTTATTTCCTCTCCGCGCTTTCATGATGTTCAATCGTCTTGGATCGCGGTGGCCTCGGTTTCCGATCTATCCTTACTAAATCGAGACCCATTGCGCGTCCCTCCATCCCTCTTGCCCAGCCTTTTCCCGCCGTCATTGAGGGGCTCTGTGCGGTTAGTCCGACGTCCTTGAGCAACTTGTACAGCTAATTCCTGCTCAACTGCTATACTTGCTCCTTCATGTACCTCAGCACTGCGTGAACTCTTTTCGGTGGACGCGATAAAGGTGGGTGCTACGTCATCAACCGAGCCCTTGCTAGCGCCGCGCTGGTGGGGTCCGCTCTTCTTAATTTTGCTCTTTTTGCTCATGGCTCCACCTATCGTCATCCAGTCAAAACAGCTTCGAGCTGGTCAGGGGACATCCCCATGCACGCAAGCCTCAAGGTGCGCGTCATGAGCCACAAACGCCACACATCGGAAGCTGCTTCATGGGACAATAGTGACGACTCAGCCACAGATGCGTTCCAGGGTCTGCCTGTCTTGTCCATGTCGAGGCCCCCAACAACTCAAGAAGTCAAGGTTGATGCTATTCTTTTCTCCAGCGGACATCGGTCCGTCCGCGCTCGTCGCGGAGAAGGACGCAATGCACTGACGATCCAGGTGGTTCTTTTCCTCCGCCTAAGATTTCCTATTCTTCGTTCGTCCTAATTCCCCTTCTTCTTATTCCTCCCAAACAACACAGGAAAACCTGTCAGTCTGTCTCACCAATGGAAACCCAAGGCCCCTCGTGACTTATGACGCAAGGGGCCCGGTCATGCCCGGCGGCAAAGAGGGCCAAGCCGGTTCGGCAGCTCCCAGGGCTAGGGAGGAGACGCGGCCTGTCTCCGCTCTGCAACGGGGAACTCAACGTGGGCGAAAAGACGTCAAATCCTCGATATCGCCCTTGCTCCGAGCTCGTAGGGCTGGGCAAGACCGGCAGGCTTGCGGCAAGGCTAGCTGTGGCTGGTAACTGTGAGGTATGCCGCGACGAATGTTGCGTGCCTTGAACAATTAGGTATTGCGATTTCGTCGCAACCAACGCCACACTTGCGCACGCCTGAGGCTCAAGGGGCCGATGATGTAGTGTCACATTTGCGCGTCCGTTGACTTCCCAGGCCCGAGGCTATTATTAACATGTTTATTTCTTGTTTCGGCCGGGCCAAGCGACCTCATTGGCAATCGGCTCTGCTACTATACATCGGTTTCCCCACGAAAGCCAGGTCTGGCCAACAGTGATGGACTAGCTCTCATAGGCAATCCTAGACTGCCAAACTGCCTAGACATGCACGTCTGAGGCTACTGCCCACCAGCCATTGTTGGTTCAGCATTAGACATGATACAACTGGCTTGGAGTGTATACCAAGGCAGCGAGGTCCGTACTTTCGCTGAACATCTATTGGCGCCACCGGTGCCGTGTTTCCGCAAGCTATTCCAGCTACGGTTTGTTAAAGAATGTCTTGTAGGGTGGACTTGGCTTTAAGCGTCATAGGAGTTCATTCGTCGTCGTGCGCCGAGGGAGCCATTTTCCTGCCAAACGCCAATGTGCCGCCAATCGTCTTGCCCAAGATGTATCCAGCGTAGAGGCCGCAGACAATAGTGACGGGCCACTTCTGCCACTCACGATCCCAGTCGAGCGGGATGGGCACCGCACCGAGCCACGCGCCCAACAGGCCTCCTACGAGACCGCCGTATGTCTCGTCCAACGGTGCCGCCGCACTGGCGAGAGCCGTCCAGGTGCTCGCATCGACTCCATGGACGTAGAAGAGCGGGAAGAGCGAGAGAATGGCGACGTTGGCGGAGCAGAGGAGGGTATGCGGTACATGCGTCAAAAAGGGGGCGCCGAAGAGGACGAGAACGACGTGGATGGCTGGCGTAACGAGGAGAGCGAGGAGGAGGGAAAGGAATATAGCCTGAGGGGTTCCCGATAGTCAGCTATGGCCCTTCCTCGAATTGGCCGAATGTTGTGACTTACAATGAAAATATTGGGCCCCGTGCTCTCAACCTTCTTCTTCTCGCCTGGCCGAGGCTTCCTCGACGGCCTCGCGCTTTGCGATCCGGCTGCCGGCAGACCGACAAAGGCGTAGACGACCTGGATCGCGACGACGATGGGGAGCGAGTTTTGGAGGGTTCGCACGGGGTCGGTCACCAGGGAGCTGAACTGCGCGAGGAAGAGGCCGGAGATGAGCACCGGCTGGAGGTGTCGGACGACCTGCGCAGCAGGGCTCGCCAGGGCCTGGACAGGATGTAATACGTTGTCCTTTGGCTTGCCCGCGTCGGAGGCGGCTTTTGATGATGCTGGCGCTGACATTGTCACGGGGTCGACCAGTGGCATGGTGTGGGTAAGGAGGAGGATGGGGTGAGGCGATCGATTCGGTCGGGGTTCGGAGCCCGGTCTCCTGTCGTTTCGGTCAATGGCTGAGGCAGGATACGGGTTGAGTTCGTCAATGGGTACCCGGAAGGCCACGGCTCTGGAAAAATCCCGGAACGGACGCGTCGAGGCGCGGGCACCGTGCATTCGGATCCGATCGGATCACATGACGATAAGATGCTGGGGGTCTGATAACGAACCCCAGATTGATCTACTGTCGTGCTTACCTAAGCAAGACTCTTACTGCGTACAGTACACTGTTCCTAATGTTCACCTTGAGGAAACAGGTACCTCTGGTAAGGTACGTATCTGCGGTATGTTCTGCTCACAGAACACATGGTGACTGTCTCACGGTTTGCCTTGTTTGGGCAATGACTGTTAATCTCAAAGTTGCGGTCTCCTCTTTTCGGGATCTGTAGGATACAAATCTGTCGATTCGGAAGCAAGGCAGCTGCCAACCTTTCCCCGGATTCTCCCTCGTCAGCGCACCCAGCCGGTCGGGGCCTGTGGTTCGATAGCTGAAGGAAATGGCGATCATGTCATTGGCACATGATTCCTGGCCCCGCTTCTGTCCAATCAGCGCTCGTACTCGGTGCCTCCCGTCAGACCACATCACCCCATTAATGTTGGCACTCGTCAGGAAACCACCTGAAAACGCACGATCGCCCAACGTCAGTTTTTTTTCGTGGGTTGCTAACAACGGCTGGAATCCAAACGGGCCCCCTCCAACTCGGGCTTTGCGAACCACGTTACCAAGCGCTGCGCTTGCCCCCTTTTCGCGGCTGCGCCTATTGGATGAGACACAGTTGTCATTCATGATTCACACCTTTTTTTGGTGCTGCAGAAATCCAAACCCTTGGCCCTGGCTTTTGGGGGGATCCGTTTACAAGATGGGATGGCATGATCTTGACCCAGCCCAGATTAGAAGCCTCCAGGCACGGCAATCTTACGGGCAAAGATGCCCGCCCATCTGCCCACAATAGGCGTTTGCCGTTGGAAATCCCGGAGTCCTTTGTCAAGATTCACAGATCTCGTAGGTATGCGGGCTGGAGGCACAATCTTTTCCTTGGTATAAGATCCAAAGCAGCTTCCCGCCTGTCGTGTTCCCATTTCCGTTCTCATCATCATCACACATCAACAACACCAAACAGAGTCTCAACTCAATCACCAAACCAACTCTCCACTACATCTTCTGTACGAGTGTATTACATTTCACCTCACTCCTCTCCATCAAATCAATAGAAGTCTCTTGACTCAACACCAAAAAAAAAGCCAACCCTCCAATCACCACTCAAAATGTCTCCCGCCTTCGCCGCCCGCAACGCTGCTCGCTTCGCTGTTCAGCGTAGACAGTTTACTCTCCTCCACAACATGCGCAACGTCGCCCGGTCCTTCGAGCCTCATCCCTTCCAGAGAATGTCGCAGACTGGTGTTCACGCCAAGCCTTACTACGGTGCCATGATTAAGAAGCGTGCCGTCACCGCAGCAATGTAAGAAGCCATCACAGCCTTAGCTACAGAAGAGACGACGGTGATTAACATTACACCAAACAGGTTCTTCCCCCTTGCTTTCGGCATCCTCGGCTGGCCCTACGCAAGCATGCTGCTTGTCGATGGCCACATGTAAACAGCCTTTTGGATAGTAGATCCACAACATGGGATAATTGGCAACAACGATACAGGAGTTGGAAGTTATATTTGGGAATTTGGGACATTCACGAGATACCAGTACATATCTCAAGCATCTGAAGGCGTTCTGGGGCTTCTTGGATACCTATAGCATCGGTAGAAGTCCGTACGGACCATGCATAATTTACTTTGTTCAAACTAAGAACCCACCTGAAATCCTCAGGTTTATTATCTTTGACCATGAGTAACATCGAGCTTGCCTACATGAATTTATTAGTACGATAAAAGTCATACACTTTGTATCGTCCCATGTACTCTTGTCTGGACTTCACTTACAACTTAAAAGAGACCCTGAGAGGCCCGTGCGTGGAAGCTCCGAAGTGCGCTACTCCACCTTTGTCCTAGTCCCTCATTCGCGCCCATGCAGCTCCCCGGACTGCTACCGCGTCGTGTTGAAGCTGCCACTTTTAACCATTTTGACAACACTATCACCTCCAAAGGCGAGCAACTGCGACCACGACCCAACGAGAATACCTGACAAACAGGTGCCGGGGACCTGCCAACAAGCTCGAGTGCGGCTTTCTGTTGACTGCCATCGAGCCACCAAGCATCGAATCGCCCCCACTTGCAGTCACCGCCCGACCAACAAACAAAGGGGCTCCGCCGCGAAAACGAACCGAAACGACCAGCAGCAAGAGCATCGTGAGGGCTAAAAGGCTCGAGGTGTAGACAAACAATACCATTTTGTTGTTGAAATTTCGGATGCATCTCACAAGATGACGGACTCGCTGCACAACGCGCCAATTGTCCTGGACAATGGCTCCGGTACGATCCGTGCCGGTTTCGCAGGCGACGACCTGCCCAAATGCTATTTCCCCTCGTTCGTCGGTCGGCCCAAGCATCTGAGAGTTCTCGCCGGCGCGCTCGAGGGCGAGGTCTTTATCGGACAGAAGGCGGCAACGGAGCTCAGAGGCCTGCTGAAGATCAGGTACCCGCTGGAGCACGGCATCGTCACGGACTGGGACGATATGGAAAAGATTTGGGAGTACGTCTACGGCGAAGGCCTCAAGACGCTCAGTGAAGAGGTTCGTTTGGCACAGCTTATGGCTTGTGCAATATGCGAGACGCACTATATCTGCTCTTGATACTAATGCCCACCTCAAGCATCCCGTCCTCTTGACCGAACCACCCCTCAACCCTCGCAGCAATCGCGACACAGCGGCTCAGATCCTCTTCGAGACCTTCAACGTCCCGGCACTGTACACATCAATCCAAGCCGTCCTATCATTATACGCTAGCGGCCGGACAACCGGTATCGTTCTTGACTCGGGTGATGGAGTGTCACACGCGGTGCCAGTTTACGAGGGGTTCGCCATGCCGAGCAGCATCAGGCGGATAGACGTGGCAGGACGCGATGTGACCGAGTACATGCAAATGCTGCTGCGGAAGAGCGGCTACGTCTTCCACACCAGCGCCGAGAAGGAGGTTGTGCGGCTCATCAAGGAGTCTGTAACTTATGTCGCTCACGACCCCAGGAAAGAGGAAAAGGAGTGGGCAAACAGGACAGATCCGGCCAAGGGCGTGGAATACGTTCTTCCAGACGGTCACAAGCTTAAAGTCAGTTTCTCGTTATGGAAGACGGCAAAGATAAGTGGGCTGACTATGTTTACAGATCGGTGCGGAACGGTTCAGAGCACCCGAAATCCTCTTCGATCCAGAAATCATCGGCCTCGAGTACCCCGGTGTGCACCAAATTGTCGTTGATGCCATCAACAGGACGGATCTCGACCTGCGCAAGTCGCTCTACAGCAACATTGTACTCTCTGGCGGCAGCACGCTGACTAGGGGCTTCGGTGACCGTCTGTTGACGGAGCTGCAACGGCTGGCCGTCAAGGACATGAGAATAAAGATTTTTGCGCCGCCAGAACGCAAGTACTCGACATGGATCGGTGGAAGTATTTTGGCTGGTCTCAGCACTTTCCGAAAGGTAGGTTACAATCTACTCGCCTGCTCTTTCCCGTGGGCTCAATTCACTGCGGAATCTCGAGGCTAACCCCTTTTTACAACAGATGTGGGTGAGCATCGACGACTGGCATGAGAACCCGGAAATCATTCATACCAAGCTTACGTGAGACGGTTCTTGTTTTTGATTCATATCGATGAAACGGTTTCCAGATGGCGTTGCTGGCCCCCCTCTCGACGTTTATAGATCTAGAGCTGTGTTCACCATCCTGTTGCGCCTTATGATTAGACACAAAAGGCGACAACTGGATGAGTAGATGGAGTTTAGATGTCATGGAAGTTGGAGCGAGAGAGAGAGAGTGGCGATTGGCTGGATTTGAGATTTACCTACCCTCAAAAGACATCGGCATTTTCGAAGCCATTGTCATAGGTAAAAGGCAGCATGAGGTAATGGTCAGCTAGAAAGTTGAGAATGATACCCGAAGCTGTTGTCTCTTTTGATCACATATGCAAAGCGTACCTTTTGACCATGCATTGCCGTACAATGCTATGCAGCTTGCCGCATGAGTTGGGGTCCAGTTGGTTGGTCGTTGTCAAGTTACGTGACATGCGTCCGATGGAAACCGGAGATTGCGTTGGTATCAATATATTCCTTTTTCCCCTTTCGGACCGTAACATTCTTTCTATTCGCAACCCTATCTCCGTGTCTCGCCAAAATAGCGTCAACAATCTCTTTTCTTGTGTCTTATCCATAACAGCTTATTGTCTCTTGGGCCCCCGAGCGTTTGCTACTCCCCAGTCACGTTGCGTGTTTCTGTCAGATGTCAGTCAGGATCGTCATGAGTTTGTGACGGATGAATATATATCGATACCCTGGTTTGGCCGTTGTAAGTGGGTCACCGCGACGGTTCCATTTGAGTTTGTTGTTGGAGTTGGGGTCTAGAGATGAGACCTAGGTAGGTAACTGGCGCGTACATACGGTTGTATTCATACATGCAATGATACCGAACAGAGGTGTGATAAAATGATGTTAGTTTCCTTGAGTTGGAGCGGGTGAGAGAAGGTGAGGGTTGTGGATGTGAGACGAGGGATCGCTGTTGTTGGGTGGCCACGGCGGTTAAGGTTAGTTCCACCCTGCCAGATGGAGGACGTGTTGGAGTGAGATGGAAGACTATGGATACGCAGTTTGAAGCGCAGGTTCAGGCTCGCCTACCATCATCTCCTCTCAAGGTTGGTTACTTGCTTGTTGGTCCTTGATAGTCCTCGCTCATTGAGACGTAATTAGTACAAGACTGCTTCGACCATGACAGCCGGACCATTCTACAACTCAGCAGGCAGAGCCAGTGAATTGAGTCGAAAACTAGAGAAGATTGCACCGTGAGAGTGAGCTGGTTCACTTTGATTATCGACCGGCATATGAGATCATGTCACATTACTGGCCAAAATTAGAGTCATTTGTGAAGATGTGAAACATTTGATATTCAAGAGGCAACCCATATATGGTCCCTCTCAGTACTATTTTGCTGAACAACCAGATGGGTGTATCTGGGGGTATTGTGTCCGCCGCGCTCGCTCTCATGCCATTCACCAGAAAATAGAAGCCATCCCGAGGCCGCTCCCGCTATGTCCTTGATAATTCATTCCGTATGCGTGTGTGCTTTTTTTTAGTTTCCGTAAAACGCCGTGCCGTTGTGATTATGAAAAAGAGGTGTGTAGATAGGTGCTCAGTTGGCCTTGGTGACCCGGCGCCAGAAGTTGCCGCCACGGTTCTTGAGGGACTTGAGCGAGGAAGTAGACGCAGACTCCTCCGAGTCGCCGCTGTGGACAGAAGAGGCGTCCGAGACGCGGCGGGTGACATTGCCAGCACCGCCGATACCGACGTGGCCGACGGCGGCGCGGTCGCGAACCTCCTGGCGGTCAAAGTCCTCGTCAAAGGTGCGGACGGGACGCTCGGGGGCTTCGTGGCGGTTGCCAGCGCCGCCGATGCCAGAGTAGAAGCGGCGGGTTGCGCCTCCGTTGCCGGCGGGGATGGGCGCGGGCTTGAGAGGGGTGGTGATGCCGGTGGCCGGGGTGAGGACCTGGGGCGCCTTGCGGATGTTGCCGAAGCCGCCTCTGCCTGAGTAGATGTATGTGTTTGGTGCCACGGTGGGGTGAGGCTCGGTGACGAAGATTTGGGAAGGCATCTTGGTGGATATGTGTGTTGTATGTATGTAGTGTTTGGTTGTGGTGGTGGTGTTGAGCTTTGAGGTTTGGTGTGTGGTGGAAGTGGGTGTAAGTGGGATGGATGTCAACTGAAATGTCGTCTGAACTGTCAGATGAGGAGACTTGGGTAACCAGCCGATGATGTGTGAGATGTGTCTTGGATGTGTCAATGACGGGAAAGGGGATGCTCGTGAGAATAGCGAGAGGAGGCCAAGGTTATTATAGGTTTGTCCTTGGAAGAGTAAGAGGTGGTGGAGGGCTAGCCTCACAGACACACCAAAGCAGTGTCCTCCTGACAAGCAAAAGTTTCTCCCATGCCCGTGAGCTAAGTGACGGCGTTGCACTCGCAACGAACAAGGTGTGCTCTCTCACACTTGTGATGGACCAGGTACACTAGGTACGTAGCTACGTACTATCGTGGAAGACTTTTTCTTTCTTTCTTAGTGTGAGAAGGAAAGAAAATAAAAAAATGAATAAAACCGGAGAGCCCACATTAGGCAAAGTTTTGTCAGAGAGGGCGGTTCTCGAGCAAGTCACAGAGTGAGGAGGAGGCGGAGAGATCTGAATGTGCAAAATTAGCATGGCCCCGAGGCCCCGAAACAACGGGAGCGGAGCTACGCTAGCTAGGCTGGGCCCAGGCTCATGGGTAGCTTGGACCTTGGCTTTCGCTTTTTGCCAGGTCAGGTTTGCTGTTGTTGACTTGTTGGAGCCGGTGTGGGGAGTGAGCAGAAGAAGACCATGCATGTCGTGATGCAGTGAATAAATGACAAGACAAGGTCAGATGTGTGTGAGACATGGGTCTTTGCCGGAGGCATGCTGCATATGCCGTATGCC